TCTCTTAATTTATATTTTTTATATTATATTTAAATTTAAACATATATATTCTGTAGTGATGTATTAAATGTGGTGCATATCTTCTTAAACTAAAAAATTTAATTGATACTTTTGTTAAATGGCTTTGTATACACGTCTATGAATATATCATACGGTTGGGGACACTGACCCTTTTTTCATTTTTTTTGACAAAAATTTATCGAATTATCACGTTAGGAAATTTCTTTTGCCAAAATATCACGTTACTTAAATTGTTGCACTGTGCAGCGAGATTACGTGGCATCATGTTAGCAAGTTTAAGGCCACATAATCTTGCTGCCCTGACGCCACGTGGCTTAAATCGCTGCACTATGTAGCGTTTTACATGACACCAGTAATAATTTGACACGTGGTATGTGCAGAGTGTCCATGAGAAAATGATAAAAATAATTTAATGTCCAATAAATACTGATTTGTATATTGTTTTCTTTTTGAAAAATATAATAAACAATGAAGACAATAGAGTGTTATGAAAAATGATAAAGATGATTTCATGTTCAATAAATGCTATTTTTTGTTTTCTTTTTTTGAAAAGTATAAAAACAATAAAGACAATGGAGTGTCTATAGGAAAACGATAAAGATTATTTAATATCCAATAAATGCTAATTTGTTTATATTTTCCATCTTGACACTTCATCGTCTTTATTGTTTATTATATTTTTCAAAAAGAAAACAAAAAATAAATCAATATTTATTGGATATTAAATCATCTTTATTGTTTTTCCATTGACACTCCATCATCTCTATTGTCTATTATATTTTCCAAAAAGAAAATAAAAAATAAATCAGCATTTATTGAATATTAAATCGTCTTTATCATTTTTCCATGGACACTCTATTTGTACATGCCATGTTGCATTATAATTTTTGCATTATCCAGCACATTATGGAATCTATAATACTATTGTCTGTTAACTGTTTGAACTATGCATACCATGAACAAAATATTGAGGTGATTAGTTTCAATATTTAGCATTCAAAGTTATCATAATCCATGGTGGTCTGAATAGAGTCCTATATACATTTTTCATGGATGAATTTGCTATAATACCATAAATGTAACATTATTTACGTGCTTTGAATTATAATTTTACATCTACATTATAAAGAAGACTTGAAATATAAGTCTTACAAAAAAAATGACATTATTCCTTTTTTTATACATAAATTATATGATATTTAAGATAAATAAATAGAATTTTATGTTTGTTATGTTGCATGTAACGTCCGGCTGCTTCAAGAATCAATGATTATCCCCACACACTAACTGTAATACCCTGTTCTGAAACCGGTTTGTTATCATTGCTTTATGATATTAAGCGCAGTTACAATCACATTGGTTCAATTAAAACCCTGGTAAATTTTTCATTTTCTTTTTAAAAACACCGAGTTTAAAATAACCAACTGCGTGACCATAACCTTAATACATTGCGGAATAATCAGAACTAAGCTTAATATCATATTTTTATTTTGTTCAAGTTCAATACTAAACTCTGTTCACTTTTTATACTTCCTGAGAAAACTTTTAAGAAGGTCACCCATCACAAAATTGCCTTAAGTCAAGCACACTTCACTATGAAGTTTTTCCATTTCAGACTACCGAAGAGTAGATGCTCTTGTTAGTATAGGTAGTACCAATTAATTCTTATAAGCTATCCCCAACTGTACTGTCCCCGCCCTCGTCAGCGCCTGGGATGTTATATGTCCACCAGCTTTCGCCTGAGGCCCTGCTCTGATACCTCTTGTAACGCCAGGTCATTTCAAGAATCAATGATTATCCTCACACACTAACACTGGACTTTTCAGCATGCTTTATCCTCACTCGCACACTTCCTGGGAAAACTTTTCAGGAGGTCACCTATCCCAGAATTGCTCCAAGTCAAGCACACTTAACTGTGGAGTTCTTCTGTTCTGGGCTACCGAAAAGCAGATGCATCTTGTTAGTATAGGTAATACCAATTAATTCTTATAAGCTATCCCAAACTGTGCAGTCTCATACCTGCACAGTCTTTGGAATCCTTCTCTTTCGGGTGTTGATTCGATTCATTCTTGCATGTAACCCCCTGAAAGCCTGTCAGGAGTCGCTCCTTATCCGTGCCTCTTTGCACCGGCGATCACTCTCCGCCCTCGTCAGCGCTCGGGATGTTACATTACATAACATAACTTCACTTTCCTATACACACAACAAAGTGGTGGGGTCCACATATTTCTCTTTCTTTCTCATTCCACTTTCTCTCGGTCATTTGTTATGTGTATAGGAAAATAAAGCTATATTATATAACATAACAAACATAAAACCCAAATATCATAGCACACACCAACCAATATAGGATTTTAAGTCATCCTTACAAAGTATAAATACCACAATTAAAATATAATTAAAAAATCTTTTATATGTTTAAAAATAATTAAAAAATATGAATAGATCTCGTTCTCTAATTATAATTGTCTCTTTACATATTTTCCCAAATCTTTTATTACACATAATTATAATTAACGAGTCATTAATAAAAATGAATGTCAATAGCAACACGTAAAAGCAAACGCCAGGTAATATTAGACTTTCTGTTCAACAGTTAAATGACCTAAATCAGTTTAGCAAAAAAAAAAGACGACCTAAATCAAATTTTTTAAATCCATAGAAATAAATGATTTATTTTTTAAAAAAATTGTGAATTGATGTAACTTAAATATCATTACAAATGTAAAGACAAAAATAGTCCAAAGGAAACCTAACGGACGTTTGATAGAGGAGAAAATATTTTTTACCAGAGAAATATAATTACTAGGAAAGTTAGTTAGGTAGGAAAGTTAAAAACAAGTTGTCTGGTAGGCCAAGATATTACCGAAAAAATTGGGTTAAATTTTCTAATTCTATATTTGGTTGAAGGTAAAATATTAATGAAAAAATGAGATGAAATTATCAAACTAACTCTTGACTAAATATAAAGAAAACTCTATTTCTAGAGCATTCTTTTGGCACATTTTTTTAAAATGGATATTTGTGTCCATTGCTTTTTTTTTTCCTACTTTTCAATTTGATGGGTAATGAGAATATCACTCTTTGGATGGTATTCTAAAATGACAATTTTTTTTAATTTTACACATAAACTGAGATTGCTACACAAATCTGAATAATGGACAAATTTTTTAAAATTTCCTACCAAATATAATTAACTAAAAAATTTATCTCAATTTTTTCAGTAATCTTAAAAAAAACCTCTTACCAAACACTCTAAGGATGTCACACTTGATAATTAAGTATGCATCAGGGATTTGATCGCATATTTGACATTTGAAAGATTTTTTGGGTTAAAGACAAAATATTTGTATTTAAACTTCAATAAGGGATCTTACCATACTTCCGTTTTGATACACCTCCCTGTAATAAATGTCCTTTGATAATTAAGTATGCCTCAAGGATTTGATCGCATATTTAATACTTGAAAATTTTTTTGGGGTTAAAGACAAAATATTCGCATTTAAACTTCAATAAGGTATTTAATCTTACCATAGCTCTGTTTTGATATGGCTCCCTCTAATAAATATCCTTTCATAATTAAGTGTGCCTCAAAGATTTGATCGTATATTTGATACTTGGAAAGATTTTTTTCGGTGATCTAAAAAGATAGAAATAGGTTATATTTATAAATTTTTATAAATTATACAATATATTCTGAAAAATATATACTTAAATATTTTTATTTTCCGAAATACATAGTATAATTTATTAAGAAAAAGATTATATTAATAATTTTGTTTTTTTTACGAACTACATTATATCTTACCAGTAGTAAGACTTTACTCAAAAATATTTGTTCGGTAAAATATAGTGCAGTTTATAAAATTTTGTAAATAAAAAAATTATAAATATAATTTTTCTCTTATAAAAATTTATAAATATAATTATAGATAAAGTATTTGCATTTAAATTTCGATAAGAAATTAATCTCACCGTACTTCCGTTTGGATAATGTAACATCCCGGGCGCTGATGAGGGCGGGGAGTGATCACCGGTGCGCAAGGGCACGGACAAGGAGCGGCTCCTGGCAGGCTTCTAGGGACGAGTACATGAATGAATCGAATCAACACCCGAAAGAGAGATTCCAGAGACTGTCCTGGTATGGGACGATACAGTTGGGAATAACTTATAAGAATTAATTGGTACTACCTATACTAACAAGATGCATCTGCTTTTCAGTAGCCCGGATCGGAAGAACTCCACAGTTAAGCGTGCTTGACTTGGAGCAATTCTGGGATGGGTGACCTATTGGGAAGTTTTCCCGGGAAGTGTGCGAGTGAGGAAAAAGCACACTGAAAAGTCTCGTGTTAGTATGAGGGGATAATCGTTGATTCTTGAAGCGGTCGAGCGTTACAAGTGGTATCAGAGCATGGCTTCTCATACGGTGTGGTTCGAGGACGAACCAGGCGAAAGCTGGTGGGCATGTAACATCCCGGGCGCTGACGAGGGCGGGGAGTGATCGCTGGTGCGCTGTTTGACTTGGAGCAATTCAGGGATGAGTGACCTCCTCGGAAGTTTTTCCGGGAAGTGTGCGAGTGAGAAAAAAGCACATTGAAAAGTCTCGTGTTAGTATGTGGGGATAGTCGTTGATTCTTGCAGGTTGCCGAGCGTTACAGATACCTCTCTCTTGAATTTGAAAAAAAAAATGTAAAGGAAAAGGGTTGTCAACGGACATTATTTTTTTTAGTATAAGGACATTATTTCCTTTGAAACAACCCAACAATGTCTGTTGAATAATCCTAAATTAAATTCGTAACAAAGAGCATTTTGATTAGTATTTTCTTCTTATCAAAACACGAAATCAAAGGGGACATAATGGGCCACGTGTCGGAATGCAGGAGTTAGGTAGCAGTATGGACGGAAGCACTGGATTCGCTCTAATAAAGTATGATTCGCTTTCTGCAACAAGATTACTAAATTAAGATTTAAGATAAAGGCTGGATCCGATTCATGCCACTTCATTCCGGTCCCGGCAACTTTTTTTTGCGGTGGTGCGGGTGGTGGAGCCTCCTCGGGTCCGCGACGGAGCTTGCGACGCCTCCTCCATCTCCCAAACTTTTGTCGTTAAAAACGAACATGATCTTTTGCCTCTGTTTCTCCGATTTGGTTCTCCCCGTCGTTTATGGATCTGGATTCTAGAGGCTTCCATTCTCATTGCTTGTGCTCTCTCTTAAAGTTTTGCTCCCGAGGCTGTAAATTTTTAGCTGATCTGGTCTAATTGATCTGTTCTTCCAGGTGTTGATTCATTCCCACCCCGTCCCCTAATTTTTTTAAAGAGATTTATGTTTCATCATTCTGCATTCTGGTTGATTATCAGAATTTAAAGAATTAGTTGCAACTCACAATTAACAAAATATAAAGTTCTCTCTTCTTTTTTTTATTTGTTTAATATTTTGGGGGAGGGAGAAGATAATTAGGTTATAGTTTTGTTATGTTGTTGTTGGATGGCAAAATGTGTTAAATTTTGTGATTATTCAAAAATTCAGTTTTGTATGTTAACCTTTTCAGCGATGAGGGTAATCCTTGTAATTGATTAACTGATATGGTTTTATGCTGGGATTGGCTTTTTTTTTTTTTTTGGGTTAGTTATGGTTTCAAGTCATTGAATCTAGAGCTATTTCTGCATGTGATGCATCTCTGTTAAGAGCATCTGCCTGCTTATTTTGTTGCATTATCAGCCTATACGTATTCGTATTGGTATTAGAATAATTGGAAGAGGTCACGTTGTCATTAGTCATAAGCATATTTTGTCACCCCCAGAGTGGAGAATTATTTGTCTTGTGTTTTGATGGTTGCAGTTTTTGTGGTGGAAGGAAGACTGATATGCTATGCGAAAATGTCATTGAAAAGCATAGTAAGAGAACTCAAGGAGATGAGAGATGGGATTGGTAGCATATCAAAGCGAGGTGCAGGAAGCAGGCATTGGCATAGTCGGACAAAATCACACATTGTTCCCGATGTCATTATGACTCCACTTGAACCTATTCAGCAGGGACAATGGGCAGATCTACCCTCCGAATTGCTTCTGGACATAATCCGGAGAGTTGAAGAGAGTGAGACATCTTGGCCTGCACGTGCTGTCGTTGTTTATTGTGCTTCAGTATGTAAATCATGGAGGGACATGACAAAAGAGATTGTCAAGACTCCTGAGCAATGCGGAAGACTCACATTTCCTATTTCATTGAAACAGGTGATAAATTCTTCACCCTTTTCTGGCCCAATCTTTTTTCTTCTTTAGGTTTTTCTGTTTCTTATGTCCTCTTTCCTTTATGTGTATGAATAGCCGGGTCCTCGTGATTCTCCAATACAGTGCTATATAAGGAGGAACAGAGAAACTTCTACATATCTATTGTACTTGGGTCTGATGCCATGTAAGTTTGTTTCACTGCTGATGCATTCCATTTCTTTTTTAAAGAAAAGGGTTGTCAAATTTATCGTTTTGAAATTACTGTTCTAAACTCTGAATTATTGACTTCGAATGTTGAACTTCAAGTTTCTTGCTTAAATATGTGGGATTCTTTATATATTAAAATTAATGTCATTTACTCACTATGATCATCGTCATCATCTTTTGATCTCTGTTCTCAAATGGATTGCTTGGTATTCATATATTGGGGAACTTTGCTTATACATACATTAAAGCTAATTGAATGGGACAAAAATAGGCAAAACCTATGGATACACCCAAAGCCAATTTTTGCTTTGTTTTCCTCCTTTCAAGACCTGTTAAACCATCTTATTGAATTTTGATAGAATGAGCTCTTGAAATGATATTTGAAAAGTTTGTTTTGTTTTGGATTGGTTTTACTTATACAGCGGAGAATGAGGGTGATAAGTTGTTATTAGCTGCCAAAAAGATAAGAAGGGCAACTGGCACAGACTTTGTCATATCTTTGGTTGCAGATGATTTTTCGCGGTCCAGCAACAAATATGTGGGAAAACTCAGGCAAGTTTTGGTTGAGAGAAACTTTAATTGTCTTTTTCATTTTTTCACCTTGCTTCTTATCATATTTGCAACTTGATGACAAACTTTGACAGGTCTAATTTTTTGGGTACCAAGTTCACTATATATGACAGCCAACCACCACACGGAGCTGGAGTTCAACCAAATAGTCGGTCTTGTAGGAGATTTCATTCTAAGCAGGTGTCTCCAAGAGTTCCAGCATGTAGCTATAGTGTTAGCACCATTGCCTATGAGCTCAATGTTCTCCGCACGAGAGGGCCAAGGAAAATGCAGTGCATCATGAACTCCATACCTATCTCTGCTATTCAGGAAGGGGGCAATGCTCCAACTCCTACATCTTTTCCTCCAATCATTGATGAACATTTTTCTTCGTCATCAGCACTGAAAGGAAAAGGTCCAATTAGAGATTTAAACAATGCAAGGGTCCAAGACCTACCAGTACAGTGCCAAGGCTCAGTTGAGCCTTTGATACTTAAAAATAAGTCTCCTAGATGGCATGAGCAGCTGCAATGCTGGTGCCTAAACTTCAAGGGTCGTGTCACAGTGGCTTCTGTTAAGAACTTTCAACTTGTGGCTGCTGTTGATCCATCTCATAATGTTTCTGCTGCAGAGCAAGAAAAGGTAATCTTGCAGTTTGGAAAGATTGGAAAAGACATATTTACCATGGATTACCGTTATCCAATCTCTGCCTTCCAAGCCTTTGCCATATGCTTGAGCAGCTTTGATACGAAACCAGCCTGTGAATGAGACCCATGTCGCTGGATCATCATCCGCTGGTTTGTTTTATATATATAATATGCTAGGCACAGTTCATCAGGCATTAGTATTTTCCCCTTATGTTAGTTGTTGATTCTGGAATTTAACCTGCATGTTGTTTCATACAACTAAAATTAAGTTTAGTGAATTTTCAATTTTATAATATATAGTCGCTTGGTATACCTCACTAGTGAATCTTTTTTTTTTTTCTTTCAATTGTGAATATTTTGGTTCTAGATATTCTTTTCTGATGATTGTCCTTTTCCCTGATGATAATTAGTTTTCATCCAGCCATGCAGGTGACTTTATATGCGCGCGTTTAGCAGCAGCTAAATATCATTTTCATTACTCTGTCAATCGTTATCTCTTGTAAGTCATAGCTAATCAATTGAATCCTGGGGTTGTTTTAAGTTGGTCTGAGTGCATTTTGTCTGCAGTTTTTCTTACAAATAAATCTTATGACACTCTGGTGAGGTTGATTGGGTTATAAACAATATCCGAGGGGAACTCGACAAAAATAAAGAGGGAGGGGGATTGGGTTAAGAGTTTTAAATAAAAACTCTTGTGTGCAAGGAACTGGATTTTAAAAACATAAAGGTAATTCTGTCCTTTCAAGTAGTCATTGTATTATACTTTGTGTAATATATATATATATATATGAAAAATATTAATGTGGGAAATATTAGTCTCATGTATTAGGAGACAATAAGTCTCTTTTACACACTCAAAAAGATGTGGGATTCACTTCAAATTCTTGTTTCTCTTTTTTCGTGCAATGAGACTCACATAAAGTTTGTGAGTGTAACATGAGATATCTTATCTCATGTTACATAAGAAAATATAATCCTTATATATAAAATTTTGATTTACCAAATATCTTTTAGTAACTTACTCACGAAAAAAAAAATTCTATCATACTCTCAGAAATTATTTTATTTCGGTAAAAAAAAAAATTCTTCTCTACAACGCCTTAAGTCAATGCGAATTGGAGAAATCATCATAGCAATAGAGTGCAATATTACGTTAAATTCCGCTTTTACAAGCATAATTTTCACAATTTTTTATAGTAAAAACAAGCTCATATAGATTACCCAAAAAAAAAAAAAAACACTCAATAGTCATATGTGCCCAAAAAAAAGTTCATGATTTTTCACATGAATTTTAACTTGTTTGATACCTTAGCCAAGCTTTAAAAATAAAATTATCATATAAAAATTATTCACGTAGATGAATCTAATCTCAATGATTATTTACTACCAATTAAATTTATCACTTCTTATCATCAAATATTAATTATTGATTTTCGTCAATTTGACAGTTATAATTTATTAAGAATTAATAATTAATTAATAAATATCATTCAATAAATTATAACCGTCAGATTGATGAAAATCAACGGCTAAAATTTAATGGTAAAAAATAATAAACTTAATTGGTAGTAGTTGGATGTCTTCCCATTATATATTATCCCCGTATATTTTCTAGTTAATTGTACACAGAAACAACCCGCTGTCTGACTCCGTTTCAAATTGGAGGTTATTCTCCTCTTTCACCGAGTCTATATGGTTACCTAGTCATCCAATATTTAATAATACTTCCAATTAAAAAAAAAGAAAATTATTTGTCCTTTTAAATGATACAAGTTATGTTATTTCATTCTCACAAATAGGCGAAATTGACACCTTTATTTTTTTTATCCGCTTTCTCTCTTCTATGTAGGGATGTGCATGGGTCAAACCGAACTGGAATTTTTGAAAAACCGAACCGAATTAGTTTAAATGGTTCAATTCGATTGGAAACAATTCGGTTCGGAACCGGTTCGGGTCGACCCTCTTTTGAAAAGAAAAAATTAAAAAATTAAAAATTAAAGTTATAAAAATCAATTTGGTTCAGTTTGAAAACAGTTCGGTTCAAAATGGTTCGGCTCTTAAACTGGTTCTAAAAATCAGTTCGGTTCATGAACTGGTTCTTTAAAAACCGGTTCGATTCATGAACTGATTTTTAAAAATTGATTATTTTAAGAGTTGTTCGGTTCGGTTCATGATTCAGTTCAGTGTTTTGATTATTTTGCACACCTCTACTTTCATGATCTATCTCTTTCTCTTACTTAAAATGATATAATTTTACATCCTTTAGAATGACACACACTTTTCTCTTAAAAATAATACCATAAGATATTGCCCAGCAATAACCTAAAGCCTTCATTGCACCAATATCTATTTTACAATCAGTGCTCAAAATATGAAAGTGTTCAATATATATTCAATAAGAATCGATATAACATCTACAATACCTTTAACCCAAACATATATATACAATAAGAATTAAAAAAAAAAGTGTAATTGGTCTCTACTATCTAGTATGCTGATAGGAGGGAAAAGGCAAAACCATCGACTATCTTAACAATTATCAAGTCCTAAATTGTAATTTCAAAAGAACTATACATGGCAATCATAAGCAGAACTATACATGACCATACAACCTGCTGTTACAGTGCAAAATTAAGCAGCAGACGCATTGTGAATGAATAAATAGAGCTAAAAATGCTACAAGATGAGATTTAGAATTAAGTTCAAGAAAGGAAATGGAAAAACCCACATATGACACATCCACAAAGATTAAGGCTCCAGCCATAAAACACACCTGCTATCTAGCAATCCAAAACGGCTCTTATCTAGCACATAATCTGTAGTCCCCACAATAAGTATCACAAAGGATGCTATTGGTTGAATGCCGAGGAATTCATTTTCATCTCTTGGATTTTGATGCATGTGAACTGGATTTTGAAAAAGGTGATAGTTTCTTCAGAAATGTGGATCTCTTTGATGATTTATTTTCCTCAGGGTGGCTGTTAGAATCCCGAGAAGTGTTGTTGATATTTGGTTCAGAGCAATCTTTATTCTCAACACAGTCAATATCTCTCAAGAGACGGATCAGTTCCAACGCATTTACCTTTCCTTTATCATTTCCATTCTGGGAGATATAGAAAAGAGGAGTGAAAATATCTTCATTCATAACCAACCGACAATAATCCTCACGTTGAGAGCATAAAGAGACTAGAACAGCCAGTGCATGTTCTTGTTCCTCATTACTGCCTTTCTCAAGTATTTCAACAACAGAAGATATGCATCCTTTAGTTTCAGCAACAGAATTCCTACCCTCTTCAGTACCACAAAGATTTTTCAAGATATATATACAGTATCTCAAAAGGGCCCTATCTTTAAAAAATGCCAGCAATTTCGGGATGCACTTGAGAGATAGCATGTGGGGACAAACTTCACCGTGGAAGGACAGATTGTACATGATTCTAATAGCTTGTTGTTGGAACTCTTTATTATCAGAATCAAGTACATTAAAAACAGAAGTGAGTGCACTGGATGCTGCAATTTTAGCTTTACTAAACCCATCCCCAGACAGTTCTTCCATTATGGCAAGAGCTTCTCCTATCACTTCTGAATCAAGAAAACTTGCCAACATAATGAATGTATCTTCACCTAAATTAGTCACACCATTTCTGCATGAAAATCATAAGAAAAATCATTCTAATGTCAAAAGCATGTGCACAGGATAAATGCCAATTAATTTTGACAAAACTAATCAGAAAAACGAAAATAGAAAAACTCAACCAACCAAAATAATTAGCCATGTACTAAAAACGAAACTGAGAAAGGGGAAAAGAAATCGTGCCTGCAGTTGTTCACAAATTCCAACAGGAGCTGAGTTCCTGCTCTCAGCGCTTTTAAGTCATGCAGATCATTAGCATTGCTCAGAAATCTGACGAGTGGTTCAATGAAATTCTCAGGTGACGCAGAAACAAAAGATTGGTAATTGCTTTTCACATGATCTTTCATATCTTCAATGACTTTGCATTGAGAATCCCATTGAAGATCATGGAGTTTAGACAAGAGCATCAAATCTGCATCATGTATCTCTGCATGAGTTGGATGTTTGTGGGAGTTGTCACTAGTCTTGTTCAACATCAAATTTAAGCCACGAGTAGTCTTCCCATGGGAGGCATCTGAACTATAACTAGTATCCAACGATCCAAGTGAAATGTTACTAAGATCCATTGGTAAGTGAAAATCATTGATATAACTTCCTAAACTCTTAATGGAAGTGTTGGAAGCTTCCCATGAGTGAACATCTTCTGCTTGCCTACTCGGGTCAGGAATGGACACTTCATTATTTCTGCACCACTTTGATATTAAGTCCTTCATGACAATGTTTGAAGTCAATGTCATATGGGTTAGCTTCTTTTTGGTTTTTGGACATATATCCTTACCTTCTTCAAACCACTTTTGTATCCACATCCTTTCATATGTTACTCCAGAAGCAATGATAACAGGATCATACATCAACCTTGACGATATTGGGCACTTATATTCATCAGGGGGTGTAACTCTACCCAACTCACTGATATCAGCTCTATACTGACCATAGTTCAAGCATGGTTCTGACTGAACATGATGACTTCGTAGAGAATCGTTACTAGAGTACTCTGTTGCAATAGGTTCTTCACTACGAGAATAGACCTCCATTTGTTCTCCCACGATGAGGTTTCCATGCTTTTTCAGTAGATAGAGAAGATATCTCAAGATCATCTTCTTTTTCTGGTCATTTTGTCCAATTTTATCTAGCAACTTCTTAATAGATCGTTTCTCTATTAAGATGGCCTTCGGGGATGTGATATTAAGTCTTGGTGCTGCAAATTGAAGAGCTTTAACTTCAGAATTCTCCACTGAATCTGAGGTTGAAGTGCTTTGCTGAAGCAACTCTCTCACAACCCTCCCAGCCTCTTCTTCAGCAGAGTCAAGAACAAATGTTGCACATTCAAGATCATCAATTATTCTAGAAACCTGCAAGTGACATTTCCGTGCCAACTAGATTATTAAAATGACGTACCAATTGGATATATTATACAAAAAAGAAGAAGAGAAAATTAAATGAAAAATAAAAAATATCAGATGAGGCTAGTTAATGTGCTGTCTGTTTCATAACAACAACAACTTCTATCTAGAAATACGTGGCTATCCACATTACTCAAAACTGGAAAACGGACACTTCAGCATTGTGTGGAATGTTTGTTATTTTTAATAAACAAATAACAATTTTATTTGACAGCTTGATGCTCCAGTTAAAAGAATCTTAATAATTCAATAGCACCAGGAAGCCTTTTGATCTATGAGAAGCGCCTGAAAGGCATTCTAAGAAAAGAGTTTGAAGCTTGGTACAGGAAAAAAGGAAATTGAATAGAGAACAAAATTTGACTAACCTCTACAGCCAACATAACTGGAACCATATCCTGAATCTGGTTTAAGCTTTGTTCTAATGATCTTTTTGCCTTTTGGCATCTTGAGAGTATTGTATCCCCTGTCACGGCCTGAAAGTAATATTAAAATCAATTAAACTATCATGCAACCTGCTAGTATAATCCATTGGTAATCCATGAAATCAAGTGTATTTTTAGTTGTTCATATTTTTCTTATCGCCATAAGCTTGATGAAGACTAAAAGGTGGTCCCATTTCTCTGAGCTGTTTTAGATATTAATGATGCAGATTACAGAAAGCTATATAATATATATGTATATATATGCATAAACTACACACCAGGTACAGTTTGCTGCAATCGGAGCAATATTGCAGAAGTAGTTTGGCTTTATCAATTGCGTTGTTCAGCAAACACAGGGACTCTATTCCCGATGTGCTTCGCGGCCGTGCCGCCTCAATGTTTGGAAATATCCTTAAGATTCTATCCACTAATTTCATGAGTTCTACGCACATTCTACTATGTACCTGTTAAGATGAATTCCGATCAACAGAATGGTTAGTTCTCATATCCTAGTGTAGTTGAAGAAGGGCACCGAGATATCCTAAAGAACATAACAAGTTGCAAAGTCAGCAACGTTTTCTTCTAGCTTCTAAGTTTCAATTAAATCAATACGATAGGTATTGAAATTAGAAGATCTCGGAAACATCCTCACTTTCGCAATTGAATTATATTTATGTACCTTAAAGGAGCGAGGATTTGGTAATGCCTCCAACTCTTCACCAGTATCAGTTCCCATTAAGGGGAGTGTCCTAGATCTACAGATTAGACAGAGAAAGAACATTAATTTAGTCAATACAAAATTATTCATATAATTTGAAAAAATAACTGAAAATGAAATATCAAGCTTATGTTAATTCATGCTTCCAACATGAAGTACGATAACTATGGGAACAAACAACTGACCGAACTGCTGAGTATAAACACAACGGGTAACAACAATATTCATCTCAAAACTCCAAAATGAAAGGAAGCATGAATAGTCATTAAGCCCTTTGGTCCAGTGGTCTTCTCTAATTCTATTATAGATTTACGAAAAAAATAAGGAAGAACAAGGACACCAAAAATATCGTGGTTCAGTCTCATTCGAACCTGCATCCACAGTAACATTTTCTCCCCCTTTTCGATCATATTTTTCAGGTGGGGTTCATTCCCTTTAAAGTTTAAATAGAGTTTTAATACATTGAATTGGCAATTGAGTCTTGCCTACAATTATGGGAATATACAGATTTGATTCCTCCTATTTGGGCTAAATTAGAGGCTAGATTGGGGATATTTTTCCCATTGATTACGCTGTTATGTCCAACAAATTCGAGTTCAAATTCTAAGAAATATGCCTTTTCAAATCATGTGGCATGCGTACGACGTTCATATTGTTCAGATTTTTTGTAATATAAACGGGTGCAGCAGCCATAATAGATTTATGTATCCTTAATAGTAACGATGAAAAAAGTCCATTAAGAAAGGACAGAATTCTGATGGATTACTCCACCAGCCAATAAAATAAAACAATTGTAATGTTTATCTGAAGGCTGCAATAAAATTATAGGGGAAACCGAACAGAGTTTGAACCTAATAAGGACGAAATATAAGGTTTAAAGAAGTCCTAACTAAGCCATATCAAACGAAAGGAGAATAAATTACCGATGATAATTAAGAAGCAAACTCCTCCTCTGCTTACAGGGAACGAATTCCAACAGAACCACCTCCTTTTCTTCTGATTACTAGCGAATCACTACAGAGTGCTAATGGACACCAAGTTCTTAAAGCAGCAAAATCACCTTTAATTCAATAGTAAGCTCTAAGAAGCGTGTTTCAGCTCATCTCTATGACTATATTCTAATGTCCCATACCCAGAAGAAGAGAAAGAGAGGATTAAAAGCACGGAGGAACTCAACTCAGTAAAAAAAAAAAAAAAAACTCAGACTTGACAAGAAAGATTAAGAAAGAGAAAAAAAAAAAACAAAAACCCACCAACCAATAGAAAGAGCAAAATGATAAGCACAGGAAAGGAAAGCAAGCATGCCCGTGAAAAAGATAACCGATTTTTATACTCATGAAACAAGAACAAAAGTCTTCGCCCGAGCAAAGTACATGATTGCAGGGTTTCAGGGAAAGAGAGAGAGATAGAAAGAGAGACCCGTCAGCTTGAGATTGTTGGATTTTTCATGACCGAGTCGACGAAACACGAAAGAAACCAACTTTGGCCTTATCTGCGGCTTTTTGTATCGGCCTAATACAGTGGAAAAGTGTTCGAAACAGTCAGTCATCATTGTTAATCGGTGAAATGCCTGTGACGATTGTGATCATTCTCGACCGTTCATCATGATTAACGATGTGGGTCCCGTTCTCGGTCTAGTAGCGATTAAGGTGGCTGTGACAATGTTGGGTTTGTCGTTGACTGAAACCAAACAGATTGACGTTTCAACCCGCAGACTCCGTTGAATGCCGCAGGAGCAAGCATTGCATACAAGTCAGTAATTAATATTTAAAGTCAAAATGCAATTTCTGCAGTCTAGAAAATAATAATTTTAGTATTTTAATTTATTATTTACAATTTGTTAAATAAAAAAAGTGTATAAATAACGTCACTAAATTGATTTGGAAAAGCTCAGACGTAACCAACCAAAGTACAAAAGGAAAAGGACAAACAAACATATCGCTCTCCAATTCAATTTATTGCAGTGTACCAAAAAAAAAAAAAATTTATTGCCAAATATTTTTGCGGCTTCCAACTTTTAAATGTTAAATTTTTTCCCAAATATAAGTTATTTATATTCTTAAATTATTTTTAATTAAATTTTATTCTTTTTCTCCACATGTATTGTATATTAAATTGAATACACTATTTTGAAAGTTGCTTAATCTTTAGTCTTCTCTCTATTAAAAAATGAAAAAGTTATTATTATCTTTTTTTAATACAAAAAAAGTTATTCTTAACTTCTCTTCTTTTCAATTTTATTTTTTCAAAATATTTTACATATATCTTCTTTCTAATTTTAAAATATTCTATTTTAATTTATATTTTTAAAATTTTAACTTAATTGATTATGTATATGTCATTTATAATTTTAAATATTTTTATTATTAAATTATACTTAAATTTAAATTTAAATACTAGCATAATATACGAGATATTTACTAGTTTATATTTATATTATATAATGCTTTAATTTTTTGTCAAGAATTTTAACGCTTTGCATATGGAAAGCTTCATTCTAAAGCACAATTTATATGAAACCATTGACTACGTGTCCTATCTTAATTGTTGTCCCTAATTACTATTAATTTCTTTAGGTATTATTAACTCGTTATTATTGAAAACTCAAAATCATTTTTTCTCATTAGTACTGCAAACAATTAACTTACTTACTTACATGCTAAATCATACTGGTCATAAACTATAAGTCACATTTTACTTTTGAAAAATTACTGTGGGTCAGAACTCATATAATGAAAAGCACAGCATTTATGGTTGGTGGAGCAAAATAATGTTTGTTGTAAATCACAATTTTTTTCAATATCAGAAATTGCAATATCACACGCAAAATTTTAGTTTCATTCATCGTGGTTACAACAATTATTAGTTAGCCCCTTGTAATTTTAAATTTATTACTCAGATGGATTGTGGTTATAGCATATATCATTTAGCCGCTTAAATATCTAAAATCTCCTTATAATTTAAAATATCGATAATACTTTTAATAAATATAATTCTAAATTATATTTGAAATATCAAAAATATCTCTAATTAAAAATGTAATTATGATTAAAAATACCTATTTTTTAAAACTTACTTTTTATCTTAATCATTTTACGTAATGCTTCCCCAAGACATGAAGATGTTTAAACTCCTTCAACCCTTGTAACCATTTATTTCTACAAGTCATGTCCCATTAATAATTTCGGCCTTCATATTTCCTTTCTTACATAAGTCATGAATATGGTAGTATATTGATATGTAAATTGTTTTGAAGCATTTCGTCCAGTATAGTTTTTGCTTTGCACAATAAACCCTTCTTGTCGTATGTCTGTACAACCATATTGAGAGTTTCCTCATCGAGTTTATGCGCATACCACGGTATTTTCTTCAAAAGCTTGATCGCCAACTTGATTTGTGACCGAGATGGTAACTTATTTTAGACGAGAATGGAAAACGATTGCTTTCTTGTATGGATTCTGAAAAGCAATGCAACGGAGAAGAATTAATAGAATATACAAAATAGAATTGCTTTATAATTTTTTTAATTAGGGTTATTTTTTATATTTCACATATAATTTATAATTTTTTGAATAAAGGTATTATTAATATTTTAAATAATAAGGACATTTTAGACATTGGAGGAGCTAAATGATGTATTCTATAATCATAACGGGGTTTGAGTGATAAATTTAAAACCTAAGTGATAGTTATTGTAACTACAATGGGTGAAAAGAAACTGAAGTTATCCCTAAATTAAAACTATCAATAATAAGTTTGGGTCATAAATCATATAAGAATAAAATATTACGATTGATGGAGTTAGAGAGATTTAGTGGAGGGTATTATAGGGTAATTTTCTCTACTTATTTATTCCCTTCTATAAAGAACCATCTCAATCCAAAATTTTCAGGTGTTGGGTTAAGGCCTTTTATTTTAATAGTTTATATTATTCTTTAACATATCCTTTTACGTAAGAATCTTTTGGACTTGAAGCGTGAATATTATATAGGTCCAATTTTTTTGGTTTTATCTTATGCTTATTTAATTCCATAAATAGGGGGCAGTGAGGATCGAACTCGTGACCTTGTGGTCACTAAAGCTCTGATATCATATAAATAATCATTTTAACCCAAAATATTAAAGCGTTGGATTAAGACATTTTTTTAATGATTTATATTATTCTCTAACAATACATTAATAGAAAAAGCAAATATATAAGTCACTGGGTTAATAGTGAACAACTTGGGTAGTTTAAATGAAATTAGAAGTTTAAATTTTAGCGTCATCTATAAAAAATTATATGCAATAGGAAATAAAGGAAAATGGAGAATTAAACAAAAATAAAATTACTAAGTCTACAATCTGTTCAGAATTGCAACATAATGGAGTTTAAGTTAATTACAAATTTAAATAATCATAAATTTATGACTCTTTTTCTTTGGAAAGTATAAATTTATGACTCTTTTAACAACAGAGGGGTTAAACAACAGATTAATTAATAAAAAGTTTTAGTGGCAACCCAAGAACTATACAGCTCAAGTTGATTCAACTATTCGAGTCACTTAATCAAAAGATTATTTCATATGTTAATTTAGTATTATATTAGTTTTGCGCAAATCTTTTCGTATGAAATGAAAAAATAATTCCGTATTGGTTTTATTAATTTTCTAATAAATTTTAATTTAATGTTAATTACAATTTCTAGAAAAAGTACAGAATTATCATCATCCTCTATTAATTAAGCACGAGCTTCGCATTCTTGTAGAAGATTGATATGCTAAATCATTTTAAATAATTAGTTTAAAACTTTCTTTAATTACTTTAAACGTAAAGTATTACATGAAAATTTAAAGTTTTATCTGAGAAAAAAATGAAATATTTAATAGCTTAAAAAATTAGTAAGTATTTGATTATTTTTTATTTAATTGAAAAGATTAGTAAGCTAAATTATTAAGAGTGGTAAAATATTTTTTAAATAATAATAAAAAAGGTAACGAGAAATACCGAGATGCTTTTGAGCTATTGTTTCAGAGTGTCTTCCTTCTTGTTTCATGTGAGCCAAGTAGCTAACAAAGTTAATAATTCATCAAGAACCAAAGAAAAAGAGAGGAAAGAGTGTGATTACTTGCGAAGATTTCTTTGTATTTTTTTAAGCTGCCCTCTTTTTAATGGTAACAGGGAAAAGGACATACCAAATTTTTTGAAAGGAAATATGAACTATGAACTATGAAGTGACTCGTAGGTCCACCTCTCAATTATTTTTGTGCTAATTTTTGTTTTCTTTAATAACAGAATATTTAATTCGTCACGATTAATAGTCACTCAGTTCAATATCTTATGCAATAAATATGATTCGAGGATAATGAGAAAATTTTTGGAACACAACATTAATTGTGTTATTCAAACATTTGGCTGTCAAAAAGAACATCACATCATATCTAATTTGTGCTGAATTTTTCTTTATCAGAGAGATATCTAAATATTTTATTAATAGCCAAAACAATATATATATATAGGGACATGATCCATTTACAAATTTTTTTAATTTTTTTTACAATTTACACTGTCTTCTCCCGGGAGAACATAGTGTAGTTTGTAAAAGTTTGTATTCTCCCGGGAGAATATAGTATAGTTTGTAAACAAAAAAGTTTGTAAATATAACTTGCCCTATAAATATATATATATATATATATATATATATATATATATATATATATATACAAAATTATTTCTACAGCCGCTGCGCGTACAGCAAATCAGGATACGAACCCGAATCTCTACAATATTAGGTTTTAACTCAAAGGAAAACCTTTGTTATAAATAATAATCTTTATGCCTCTAATGAAGATTAATCTTATACTCAGAGTATAAATTAATCACAGAAGATAAATAAAAAATTACTACATTTTATTAACGAAAATTTAAGATTGGGTTAAAAATAATATAAATTGTAAGCCTTAAAGGACATTAAATTAAAGTTAAACTTGTGCCAATATCGGATGTGACTAAATTAACAATTTAATGATAGAATTTAAAATTGGATAAAAATATTTTATAGGTAGGATAAAAAACGAAAATTAATATAGCACGCAAAAAAGATGTTAAAAGACCCATTGGGGTTTTGAAAAAGACAAATTGAACTTGTGCAAACTTTTTCATGCAATATGTACTCGATTGCGACCATAAACCTTTTGCATTATCGTAACCACCCAATTGCTACCAATTACCAAACATATTTTTGCATTCGATTAAAATCGTACGAAAATTTTATAATTATTTGTCCATTAAAAACCTTTTGTTAAAGGTGATGTTCATGTTTATGATGATCTAGATCATCAATTTTAGATATTTTTGCCAACTGGACACTATCGCTGACCCTCATGGTGCAGTTTGTTTGGGCCTTTGTTTCTTGAAGGGCGAGGGTTCTGTCGTAAAGCTCTTCAACCAAGTGGGAAGCGTG